GTTATCACTTAACCTAACAGTCATGTTTTTGGTCTGTGGGAGGAAGCCAGAGTGCCCAGAGAGAACCCACACATGCACGGAGAGAACATGCAGACTCCACCCAGAAAGGTCCCCGGGCCGAGATTTGAACCAGCGACCTTCTTGCTGAGAGGCATCAGCTCTACTAACTGAGCCACCGTGCTGACCACTCTAAACCATATATATAAAAACAGTAAAATCCCACATACTGGTCAAAAACATCCTAATTTCCAGGAAGGATACCTGGCTGGCACCCCAAATAAATCTAAATAAATAACAACAAAATTATTAAAACCAGAACCGTCACATAAATGATTGGCACCCCAGATGGGACAATTTTTTTTCTCTCTGCTGACTTAATTATTGATTCTTGTCACCAATGTTGGTCACAGTGACTGTCCCTTTAAGAGCTGCCCACACACTCTGTGTGTTCGTTTCACTTGATGGCCAGACCCAAGTGCACAGCAGCCTTCCAGCACCAGCGTATGTTTAAAGTTAAGTTACGAGGAGTTTAATCCCTCTGACAACTTTGTTTTCAATCGTGGAGTTATGGATATACAGTACGTATGCTGAAGCCGAACCAACCGAACCAAAAACAAACAGAAAGTCTGCTGGAACCGACGCCCAAAAAGCTTTGTCTTGTGTCGTTTCCCACAGCAGTAACCTCTCGCCAACAAAACAAAATGTAAGTCTCCTACAAAAAACTAAACTTAAAATTAATGTACAAATAACATAAAACTAAAGAAAATCAATTATTTAGTTTTCTTATAGAAACCACAATCCTAAAACACACCAGTTGCTCTTAACACACTTGACTCAAAAAAGTAAGTCTGTTTCGTCCTGTTTAATCAAATGAAATGACTTGTGAAAAATAGTAATTTTATTCAATTTGTGTGTTTTAGTTCCTGGATGGAGTTCTTTTTTTGTGGGTGTAGTTTTGTTGTATTTTTGTGGGAGTGTTATTTTTTGTGTTAAGTCAATCACCCAACCTTAACCTAGAAGAGTGTTTATTTCACCTCCTGAAGAGGAGACTGAAGGGAGGAACCCCCCCCCCCCCCCACCGAAACAAACTACTGTAACTGAAAGAAGCCATGATAAAAGCCTGAAAAAGCGTCACAAACGAAGAATGCAACAATTTGGGGATGTCGATGGGTCGCAGGCTTGTGGCATTCATTGCAAGCAAGGGTTTTGCCACCAAATATTAGATGGTTAAATGTTTTTTACTTTAAGATTATTTGTTCCTTTACTTTTGCTCACCTAAAAATGTTGTGGTGTAATACAAACGGTGATCTAAATTAAGTTGTTTAACACAACTACATGTAAATACCAGGGGAAAAAAGGCTGCGTAACTTTTGTCTAATGCTCCTCTTTTCATCTTAAACCAAAATGTCTTCAGTGTACAAGAAAACAAGGGAATTTGACTTGCTGTTCCAATACTTTTGAAGGGGACTGTATATGCTATATAAAGCTTTATTTCTGGGAAAGCCTAAACCTCTCTTATGTAACATCTGTACAGCTTGGCATGTACTGTAGCTTTATTCACATGATGCACATGAGTAAATATTCACTGCAGCCATCTGCAGGTACCCCAGAAAGACCGCAGGGCTCTGCACACACCACTTGCATTTACATATTGTCAAATAGTATGTCATATGCAAATTCTTGGCCTTGTCAAAACTTTGTAGGTTTTGCTGTTTGTTGCAATTTATTCTACAAAAATAGTTATAATTTTGCTTTGAGACCATTTCTCATCCTGCAGATCATTTCTCTACAAATACAAAAAATGCACCAATCTGTGTGTGCATGCATGCATGCATCTACTGTATGTGTATGTCTGTGATGGCATGAGGATGCTGCTTAGGGTGCCCCAATGGTGTAGTGCCAGTCAGATGTTTGTGAATGTCAATGTACCAACCTGTGCTGTTGTGCTTCGAAACATTATGCACAGATGTATGTGTAGATTAACAGACTCTGCAAACAGCATCATTCAGACTTTGACCAATCCTGTTCAAAGCTCAGTGAGATTCTTCTCCAGTTTGTGGAATCATTGGCACTTTAGTTTATATGTCAGTGATTGATTATTTCATTATATATTTTTTATATTTTTTATTTTTATTTTTCTTACTTTTTTATTGTTCTTGTTTTGTCTGTTTTTTTATGGACCATAATTGTGTCTAAATAAAGAGATTGATGATGTACGTACGTGTATTTTAGAATGATTAATGAACGTGTCTGGATGGCGTCAGCAGGCCATGAATGCACGACTGTAAAGAAATCATTTCTCCCCTCTGTAGCCTGCTGATTCAGTGCTCACAGGAATTTTGCTGATTGCTAAAATCCCATCAATAGTGTGCTACTCATAACCCTGATCATGACAAGAGGAGAAGGTGTGTGGTACTTCCATTAAAAGGGGCAAAAGCAGCTGTACAGAATATCAGCCTGACTGTTGGATAAAGACCAAAGGCCAAGGCTGGGGCAGGAAGAAGTCACATCTCATGGGAAAATGCTACAGTGGAGTGAAAATGTACTTGTATTTTTTCCAGATGATTTTATGTTTGCTTGTTTGTCATACTTAAATAATTTATATAATCAAAAAATGTTAAAATCAAATGATGATAACCTAGGTAAAAACTAAAAATGCAGTTCTTAAATGAGGAATTTAATAATTATCCAAGCTAATCTGTGCCTGGTGATCTTCAGCAACACATGGGAAGAAACAAAAAGAAAAAATTGTATAGGTCCTCTGGACGGGTTCTTCTCTAATGAAACGTTTCGTCTCTAGAGAGTTTCAGGCGAAATTCAGGCTTTTATGCACTGCTTCCATGTGACTGATACTCACATCACGTGGCTATCGTTGACACCTAATTAACACCTATTGTGTGACCCCAATAGGTGTTTTTTTAAATCATCCTATAGGCCCTGACATGTTAGATAAATTTGAAAATGAGGTTTTTAAAATATCTGTAAGACGAAAAAAATCCGTGAGATTGCTCTATACGTCCGTATACCTGCAAAATGATGTAAAATCTTTATAACTTACAGACAATCTGTACAAGTTGACGTGTGTGGGTTCGGGCTGAAGCTGCCAGCTGCCTTTCTTTCCCTTCACTACTGCTTTGTGTGTGTGTGTGTGTGTGTGTGTGTGTGTGTGTGTG